TTTTCTACAAATCTATATTTTATTCATATAATAATTTAAATATATATTTATTTTATTAAAATATTATTTTTATTTTTTAAAATATTATTTTTTAAAATAAAAAAAATGTATGTCTGAAATAGTAGTGGGGGCAAGTGCCCCCACTACTCTCAACCTGGATCCGCCCTTGGTTGTGAATATCTGTTGGTGTTGCTATGCCTATGGGAAGTGAAGGAAGAGTGAAGTTGAGGCTATCACATAGTGGGGTAGAATGAGATGGCTAAAAAGTCCGTGGGGGTGGGGTTATTCGGTTACAAAATGGTGGAGTATGATAAAGAGGAGACAACAAGGTTTTTAGTGGTATTAATGAGGGAAAAAGTTTGTGGAAAATTTGGAAGAGTGCTGAGGGAAGTCGGAAAAAGAGGGGTTGGTGGAGTGGAAAGGGGAAGTTGCTTCATCAAGACAAACATATTATGTATATTTTGCTAAAGCATAAAGTATTGTGAATCTTCTTATTGTTGTTGATAGGCAAGCTTCTTTTACAATACATCCAATGTATTAGAGATGACTCTGAGGTGGTCTTCCATAGGAGGTGGAGTAAGATGAATGAAAGCACCTATTGATAGGAAGTTAAGGTTATAATACTATAAAATATCCTATAACTATCATTAAAGTTATGAAGAAGATAGATTGCAATAGAAATATTTAGATTTTGCATTCATTGATAATTTTCAAAGAGGAATATATTTATATAGAGTTAAATTTATTCCAATCAATGAATAATAATTATCCGTGTGTAAGCATCCTATTATTTAAAAAGAAATAAAATAAAACATTTAACTCCAGTCGATATATTCTTTCAACAACTTTAATTTAGGGTACTTTTGGGTCTCATTAGACTCATTTTAACATTATCGATGAGCCCATATTGAACCTTGTCCTCAAGGTTTTGAAATAATTTCAAGCACACATCAATTAAGCATGGAATAAATTATCCATATTGCATTTTAAGTGAAAAATGGACATCCAATAGTGGGTGATGCATATGGTAAATGGGAAAAAAGATGTGATAATTAATGGGGTGGAGTCACATGGATTAGGCTTGGGAGGAGGGGCTGAGATGTATTTGTATATACCTTGCCAAGATCTAACGTACCAAGATATGATGGGAAATTTTTTGAGGGTATGACGTGCACAATGCAAGAGTAAGCAGAGGTGGATGAGGGACACTCAGTGAAGGATAACACTCTACACAACAAGCGTGCAAGCTAGTTGTCACGCATAAGGCTTGATTAGGTGAGTTGTTGGAGTTAGGGGGTGCGTGAAGCAAGGTGTGTAATGTGGTATTAATGGAGTCCAAAGGTTTGGCTCATTGGATGAAAGTGTAGAGTGGAAAAAATCACCTAATGTGGGGATTAGGCATGACAACGCGGCAAGGTGGGGTGAGTTTTATGTTTCCCGTCCTCATCCTCGCAAATTTAAATCGTTCTCGATACTCGTTAGGGGTAAAATCTGAATATTCATCCCCGTCTCTGATGGGATTCAGGCTTCCCCGCCCTCATTCTTAGACCTTTCTTTTCTATTTCTAATAAATATAAAAAAATTTAAAAAAATAAAAGAAAAGTAAGATAATACAAATTTTTACATATAAAGTTTTCTAATTTTGGTTTATATATATATAAGAATAATTTTTAATTATATTATTAAGCGGGGCGGGGGTGGGTACGGGGGCGGGGGCGGGGCAAGTATTAACATTCCCATCCTTGCCCCTGTTCCCGATTTCATCAATCGAGAAAAACTTGAATCCGATCAACACAGGTTTTTCCAGTCCAAATCAGGGCGAGTTTGGGTGAGTACTTACGGGATCGGGTTAGATTACCATGCCTAGTGGGGATGGGGCTTGGGAAACAATGTTGTTAATTAAATTTGAAAGTGGAGGTGAAAAATTACATGTCCCATGGAATGGGTTTGGGGAAAGGAAATAAAGAGGATAATGAAAAATGGGTTGATGGTTTGATATGTTTGTTGATTGTTGAATATGTGAAGCAGGGGAGGTGAAGGGAGTAACGTGTGTATTGGGCATGTGTTGATGTGGATTTGTAAAAAAAAAAAATAATGGTGGTAATAGGGGTTTTGGATGATGGGAGATAGGGAATATGAATTAATGGTAGGAAATCAGATTTGGATGACAGTTGTAAGCGGCTCATGAATGTAGTTCATGATTTATAAGAGGTGAAGATAGTATGTATAACATCCTAAATTTTTTAAAATTATTAAAATGATATTTTAATTAATTAAAGTAATTTTATATTAAAAACTTTTAATAATTATGAATGTTTTATAAATGTTTATGAAATTATTTTGTATAATATTTACTAAATAAATATGTATTTTAATGATATTTTGTTATTAAAAAAAGTATTTAAAGAAAATATATTTTTTAACTATTTATGTAAATACATGTATTTTGAAAAATATGCATTTTATGATATTTTAATATATTATTAATTATTGTATTTTGTTATAATTATTTGGATTGATTTTAATAATTGTTTTAATTATTTTATATGTATATGATTATATTATAAATTTTTTATAATTAATTGATTGTTATTTATTTATTATAAAAAGGAAAGCAAGTAAAGTTTTTGAAAGAAGATTTTTAAGAGGGCGGAAGTTAATTCTCTTTTACGCTTTTCATATTTTCTCTCTCCTATGTTTACACTCCGAAGAATAGGAAGAACCTGAGTTTGTGGAATATCACTTCAAAGACCCACATTCTTTATCTAGCATTCATCAAGGTAAGGAGATAGTGAGTAATCTCGCTCTAGAATGTGGGATAATTACTAGGTAGTGAAGTTCCCCAACATTTGTCAATTTAATGT